TGGGTGGGTGTGTGGATGGGTGGGTGGGTGGATGATGGATGAGTAGACAGATGAATGAAGGATGGATGGGTGGGTGGATTATGGATGGGTGGGTGCGTGGGTGGAGGCATAGGTGAATGAATGGATGGATGAATGAGGTGGTTGGGTAAACAGGATAGATGGACAAATGAGTGGGTGGGTGGATGGATGACTATATGGATGGGTGCACATCAATAACTTGTCAGCGACTTGCCTTGGGCACACACACATCGCATGTGGTCCCTGCAATCCCCAAGCCTCAGCTTTCCCATCTGTCAAAGGGGACCTCTGCTTTCCTCTCCAGTGTGCTGTGAGAGAGCGTGGTGGAAAGCAGACTGAGAATTTCCAGAGGCAAGCCAACTTGAGATCCCCTTCTCACCTTCCCCCCACCTCCCAGCCACTGAGCCCATGGAGCCCTCCCTTTCACAGGCGAGGCTGGCTGTAATCCACTGTCACACTGCCTCTTCCAGCTGGGATTAAGGAAACTGTTGGTGAGTCACCCCCACATCATAAGCCTCCTGGGGCAGGTGACATCAGTGGGTTTAGAGGCACACAGATCTGAGTTCAAGTCCCAGCTCTGCCCCTCACAAGCTGTATGACCTTGGGTGAGTCACTTCCCCTCTCTGGGCCTCTTCTCACTCTGGAAGGGGATGGCCTGGTGGTCCATCTTCACCCTCCAGGCTCTCACTCCAAGACTCCCAGTCCTCAGTCCCCTGCTTCCCCCGCCCCTCATCACCCCCTGAGCAGCGGCCATGGCCCTGCAGTTGCCTCTCTCAGTCCTTTCACTCTCAAAACTGATGAGGAAGTGGAGGCTCGGAGAGGCTCCATCGCAGACCCTCACCACACAGCTGGTAACCTTCATGGCAAGGACTTGTGCCAGGTCTCTGACCATACATCCTTCCCCTTGAGTGGGCCCACACTGCCTGCCCAGCGTGCTCAGCTCCCAGCTTCAGTTATTCCAACCTTCACGGCACCCCCTGGAGGGAGAGATGATTCTCCCCACTGGACAGACGGGGAAACTGAGGCTGAGAGAGGCTAAGTTACTTGCCCCAAGTCACCTAGAGCTGGAACTCTGAGCAGAGGAAGTGCCACAGGGCAATAGGGAGCCAGAGAAGATTAGGAAGAAGGGGCGAGGGTAAGAGGGGCGGACAGCCTGCCCCCCAACTTCCTGCTGCTCACTTGGCCTGCCCGAGGCCCTCTCACCTCATCCCTGACTCCCTGTTTCCCGGAGAGGGCTTTCTGCAGACCCACGGATCCAGTCAGCTTTGTTCTCACTGGTGAGGGAGGCAAAATCAGCTCCACTGTACATATGGGGAAACTGAGGCTCAGAGCAGTGACTTGCTCAAGGTCACAAAGTCACTGAGAGAGTGGCAGCTTGAAGACAAAAACCCAGGACTCTGGATGCCCTGTTCAGTGCTCTCCTGCCCCCCACAGTGGCTGCACAGCCCACAACCTGAGCTCAGCCCCCTGAAGTTCACCGGACACTTTCCTGGTCGCGGTCACAGTCCTGGAGGGGAAGGCTGCGGCAGGCAGGGTTTGCATGTGACAGAGGGGTGGCGTGAGCCCAGACAGGCCGGACTGGGCCTCAGTCTCCCAGCAAGCCAGGGCAGGGCCTAGACAGACACTAGAGTCTCCCTGTTCGTCCTCCAGTGCCAACCTGCCAGCCAAGGCGGGCGACCCCGCAGGGGGCAGGGCAAGGCACTTCCCCTTCCTGAGGCCCTGCTTCCTCCTCCCGCCTGGCATCCCCTGGACATGCCCCAGGAAATTCGCTGTGGGAGGGAGTATGCTCCCGGAGTGGGGCTTGGCCAGCGGGGCTCCGGAGGCAGCAGCTGTCACGACCATCATCCCCATCCAGACAACAGCCCTCTCTGGAGGGCCTGCCACCCCCAGGTCACTGCAGGTCCTTCCCTGGCCTCCGCCTCCTCATCTGCAAGATGGGTGGGCCCCACCTACCTTAGGAGACTGTGAAGGGGGTGGACCAAAAGGCCCTGTCCCTGTGTCTGGCTGGAAGTGTTGGGCCTCCCAGTGCTCTCAGAGGGGTCTTCTGGCTCTGACACCAGCAAGGGCTGCTGAGAGCAGGAACAGGGATTCCCACAGGATTGGAAGCTGGCGCCTCCCTGACCCTCCCTCGGGGCCCGTGTCGTGCCCTCTAGATGCGCCCCAACAAGCAACGAGGCAAGAGAACAGGCAGCTCCGCCCCCAGGGGCCTGGCTGCCTTGCTCCTCCGTGGGGGACGGGCTGGCCGGCAGGGGGGTCACTGAGTGCTGCCCACAGCAACCACAGTGACCACAACCCCTCAGGCCCCGCGCGTTCCACAGCCTGCAGACGGGCTGGGCACGCTGACCCCAGGGATAGGCTGCACTGAGTGGCCGGGAGGGGTGGACGTCCACCCTCTGAGCCCCGAGGTGAACCCAGGACAGGAGGTTCTGGCCCCCGGGGTGGATGACAGGTCGTGCCAGGCACCAGGGAATGTGTCTGAGGGTATTTTTATCTGGAGAACATCCTTCCACAGGGTCCAGGGCAGGAGGGAGACAGGGTGTCCTTGGCCCCACGCCCCTGGGAGCAGCAGAGGACAGAGGCCCCTGAGTGCCCTCTGCTACAGTGGCCGTCACAGACCCTGCCTCACCCCTGGCTCCGTGGGGTCCCAGAAGCACATGGGACCTAGAGGGTCTTGGGGTCTTCATGGGGCTCCCGGCTCTGCTCCAACTTGTTGTGTGACTTGGGACAGGTCTCTGTCCCTCTCTGGTCCTCCTTCATGCAATCAGCTGTTCCTGAGGGCCTGCTCAATGCTGGGCTCAGTGGGCACCAGGGACCTGGAGAGGGACCAGCAAGCGCCTGCCTGCGTGGGGCGCCCTGCGGGCAGGAGAGACGGGAAGCCAGCCATCACCAGAGGCTGGACAGAGCCGTCAGAGCACTGGGAGCCCAGGGGAGGGTCTGACCCCGGCGGAGGGCGGGGGAGGGGCCGAGCTGAGGGAACCCAGCCTGGGAGGGCCTGCAGTGCAGCGGGGACAGTAAGGGTCCCAGGTCTGGGGCACACCGGCTCTGCTCTGCACGCACGGGGCCCTGGGCAAGGCTGTCCCCCCTCTGAGCCCCCTGCTCCTGTCTGCAGACAAGGGCGCTGGCATTTCCAGCCCCACATCCCAGGATCCTAAGGGATTCGGGGCTGGGGGGTGTAGAGAGACGGGTGGGGGGGGCGGGCACCTCGTCATCAGCCTAACGACAGGGAAGGGGAAGGCGTGCTGAGCGCCTGCACGCACAGGTGCTGCGGCCAAGGCGCCACACTGACAGGTGAAGAACTGGAGGCTCTGTGAGGCCCTGGATGTCACGTTAACAAGCTGGGACTTGATCCTAAGGCAACGGGGCGCCAGAGGAAAGTTTGAAAGTATGAGTTCTAGGGCAAAATGGCTTAGGTTCAGATCTTGTCTCTGTCCCTTCCTGTGTGACCTTGGCCAAGTCATATACCTCTCTGAGCCCCCATTTTCTCACCTGTAAGATGACATTAATAATGGTATCTCTGTCATGGAGTCATGACTAGCTTTCAGCAAGTTAATACATGGACATTAGCCAGCTAGAAATTTCCTGGCCCCTCACCCACTCCCATCGCCACATCTCTGACACCTGACTCACTCTGCAGAGGGGTCAAAGGCCCCGGGAGGGCCTCGGGTGGCCCTCACTCCAGGCAGGGAGGGATGAGCAGATGGACAGAATGGGGAGGAGCACAGGAGGCGGCACCCGGGAGCAAAGGCACCACGGCTTCTGTTTTCCTAACAGCTGTAATTTTTCAAGCTTCAACTTAACTCAGGTCTCGGACCTTTCTTAAGTGCCCAGCATGCACACAGCGGGGAAAAGACCTGAGATAAAGTGACAGAAACAGACTGGAACAGGAAAGACCGTCAAAGAAAAGGCTGGAAAATTTGCCAACATAAAAATATTTATGATGCTGTTTATCAAAACCCATCACGAGCCAAACAACAGGTGAGAGGTAAATGTTTGTTATCAAAAGGACTGATGTACTTCACTTATGGAGAGTTCTTACAAATCGAGAAGAGAAAAGGACACGGCAGGAATGAGCGGAGGGCTGGGGCTGGGCTCCCCACAGAGGGTCATGTGATCCTCAGCGAACATGTCTCAGGAACGTCC